ATTAAATACAGCTATAAAATAAACTGTATTTTCTTCTGTGTTTAACGATCCAGAGTTCCAGGACAAACTACAGGTGATGAAAATATATGTTTATTTATTTTCCATGTTTACTTCTTAAAGTTATGTTGTGTATTCTACTGTACTCCCCTCCCTCAAATTTACACATTGAAATCACACCCTCTACTACCCCAGAATGTTACCTTGTTTGGAAAAAGGGTCATTGCAGATATAATTAGTTATTATATGGTCATACTGGAGTTAGATGAGCGTTAAATCAGGATGACTAGTGTACTTATTTAAACAGGGGAAATTTAGACAAAAAAAAAAAAATAGGCATCATACTATATAGCCACTAGAGTTATGCATTTGCAAGCCCAGAAACTACTAGAGCTTAGAAGAGAAGATGCACTGTCTTGTCAATATCCTGATTTTGACTTTTGGCTTCTAGAACTGAAAAGCAATAAATTTTTGTTTTTCTAAGCCAGACAGTTTGTTGTGTTTTATTACAGTAGTCCTAGGAAATGAATCTAAGTTTTAACACAGGTTTGTGTTATGATGGGTTTGGGCTGGATTTCTTAGAAGATCCATTCCAACAAATGTATTACTACTATAACAGGCTTATAGATTTGTTTTGCCTATACTCCTGTGCAAATTTTGGGGTTATCACCCGTGCCATTATATCTTTTATCAGTTTTGAAGCATTGGGTTTCAAGTACTTGACTTTTTTCTAACTAGATGTATAATTCAACTCATTGATCTTCAGTTCCCTGATGATAATGATATTTGACCTAGAAAACCATAAACTTATTTATGAGGATCAAAAGAGATAATAAGCAAGCCTCAGCAATTTAGTGAGGCCCAAAGAAATTTGGTGAGACCCTGTCTCAAAATAAAAAACATAAGAAGGGCCTGGGGATGTGGCTCAGTGGTTAAGTACCTCTGGGTTCAACATTCATTTAAGGACAGTGTTTTGATAGCCAAAAAGAGCTAAGCAGGGGAAATCACAGAAAAGGATATTATCAGGTAGCTCAGGGTTGTCCAGTGAGACAGAAAAACCTTAGAACCAGAACCTATTTCTAGTCGTGGTTGTTCTTACTCCCCTTGTGTAAGGAGTTTTTAGAGAACTTTGTTGAGCATTGTATTAATCCACTGCTGTCACTACAAATAAATACCCAAAAGAAAAGATGACTTATAAAGAAAAGATGCTTACTTATCTCACAATTTTAGTTGCTGGAAATCCAAAAATATGATGTGGGCTCTGCAAAGCTCCTATCTTGGCTGTGTAAGCTCATGTCAAAAATGGATGTGGTAGTAAGCAATCACATTCCAGACAGGAAACCAAGGAGAGCAAATGGGGATCTACAATTCCTTCTGGGGGCACACTTCCAAAGGATTAAATACTTTCTACCAAGCTTAAACTCTTAAATGCTCCATACAACCCCAGTATCACCACCATGGGGATCAAGCTCCCAACACAAGAGCTTAGGTGTACCATATCCAAACCATAGTAAGCATCTTACTAATTGATGTAATATGATTAAAAGGAAAAACAAAAACAAAGGAGACTGTCTTTCCAGATGTGCACTCTAGGTACTGTTATTGAAAGTCAGTTGATCTATTTGTGGACTTATTTCTGGGATTTATATCCTATTCTACTGGTAATATGTCTGTTTTATGCTAATACCTTACTGTTTTGATTACTGCAGATCTGTAATGTATTTTGAAATCTCTTAGTGAGATGCTTTCAGCTTTGTTCTTTTGGACAAAGACTGCTTTGGCTGTTTAGTGTATTTTATGCTTCTACGTGAATTTTAGAATTTATTTTCTGTTCCTATGACAAAAGACACTGGAATTTTGATAGGAACTTTATTGACTCTAGATCAATTTGGGGAGTAGAAAATTATAATATTGATTCTTCTAAAAATCTATGAGCATCAATATCTTTCCATTTATTTTTTTCATTGATGTTTTATAGTTTGCAGTGTAGAGCTTTCACTTCCTTAGTTAAGTTTACTCATAAAGTAGGTTGTATGTTTAATTCTTTTTGTTGCTATTATAAATGGGATTTTTTCTTAATCATTTTTTTCAGACAAATTAGTGTTAGCTTATAGCAATGCTGCTGAGTTTCATAAGTTGATTTTATATCCTGCAACTTTACTGAATTTGTTTATCAATTCTAATAATTCTTGGTATACGTAGTATTTTCTAAATATATAATAAATGTTTTCACAGAAGAATTAAAGTGGATCTTTATATAAGAAACTTGGAATGGGCTAAAAACTTAAACATAAGACCTGAAATTATAAAGCTAATAGATAAAAATATAGGAGAAAGCCTGCATGATATTGGTCTGGGAGAGATTTTTGAATAAGATTTCAACAGCACAGGAAACAAAAGTAAAAATAAACAAATGATATTTTATCAAACTAAAAAGCTTCTGCACAGTAAATGAAATACTAGAGTGAAAATACAACTCACACATTGGAAGAAAATGTTTGCAAAATATATATTACATAAGGGGACAATATTTTATATATAAGGAAGTCAAACTATTGAGTTTGAGTTAATATAAGATAATATAACAAATAGCCCAATTAAAGATGGGCAAGGAACTGGAATAGACATTTCACAAAAGAAGAAATAGGAATGATCAACAGATAAATGCAAAAGTGTACAACATCTCTATTCAGAGAGAAATGTAAATTAAGACCAAAATGGGATATCAAATGAATTATCAAATGATTAAACATAAGAAGTGTTGGCAAAGATACAGAGAGAATGGAATGCTTAACACTGTCAGTACTATTGTATATTAGTAGAACTATTTTGGAAAACATCATTGAAATTTCCTCAAAAAATTACAAGTAGAATTACCTTATGATCCAATAATCCTGCTACAGGGATTATATCGAAAGTAATTGAAATCCACATGCCAAAGAGATGTCTGGACCCACATATTTATTGCAGCATTATTCACAATAACTAAGATATAGAAACAATCTAAGTTTCTATCAGTGGATGACTGGCTTAAGAACTGTGGTACATACACAATGGAAAATGATTCAGCCTTAACATAGGAAATTTTGTTATTTCTGACAACATGAATGAACCTAGAGGCAATTGTTATGGTAAGTGGAATAAGCCAGACACAGAGAGATGAATAATGTGTGATCTCACTTATATGTGGAAGTTAAAAAATTAAAATGGAGAGTACAACAGTAGTTAACAGAAGAAGGGCATGTCAGTGTGAGGGTAGAGGTGGAGAAAAACATGTAGGCACTTGTCATCTGGTACAAAGTTAAAGAAGCAATTTCTGGTGTTTCATTCCTTGGCAAGATGACTATATTTAGTAGTAATATATTGTATATTTTTAAATATCTACAAGAGAGGGTTTAAATGTTCTTCCATTAAAGAAAAGATAAATCTTTACACCTATGGATATGCTAATTTCCATGATTTGATAATTCTGAAATGTAAATATGTAAAGAAACACCACATTGTACCCTATAAATATATACAGTTACTATTTCTCAACTAAACAATGTCAAAAAGCAAGGGGTTGAAGTAGATGTTACCTAGGCATGCAGAAATAGGAACTGACTTTTTAAATTGCTCTTAAAAGTTTCTAATGAAAGCTGTTTGTATGTATTTGGATTGGGATACATTGTTTGTACATTACCTTACTAGTTGAGAGTAAATTTAAAATGCCAGTCACTTTCTCATATTGCTGTATATGTCAAGGTGTGTTTTTAAGCCAAACAAAAGACTGCCATTTGCTTCATGTGTGTCTGGTCTTGCAGAGAAGAAAGAAATGTTTTAGGGGCTGACCTCACAGAGGAAAATTTTGTAAACATCTTCTATTAGTTTAATAGGAGGAAATAGAAATAGTTGAGCCTAGCTGAGAGTACTTGATCAAGTGACTTAATTGCTTGAGTCACCAGATGATTTTTCTATAGATTGAGAAGTTTGGACCCTATGTTTCTCAAACTAAAATACTCCTAATAAGCATTTTACTCCACAATGTTTGCTTTGATACACAAACGTTTTAAATTATTTAGCATTAAGTAAAGAAGGTATTCCAAGAAAATACTCCATGATTTTTCTGGTGACTTGACATAGTCCCTAACATACCGTTTAATTTCCTAATTGTAATAGTATAAGAATAGGTAATACAATATCCCTCTGGCTATAAGTTTTTGGTAATTTTATGTTTTTCTAAATAACTTTTTTGGGTTTTCATTTTTTAAATGTTCATTTTTTTAAAAAAAAAATTGTAGTTGTAGATGGACAGAATGCTTTTATTTTATTTATTATTTTTTCTTTTTTTAATTTATTTGTTTTAATTGGTTACACATGACAGTACAATGATCTTGACATATTATGCATTTGAATCAGATGGGATCAAGTACTCTCAACTAGACACTAATAGAGCAGTGTCAATAATGCAGATGGTTTTATACCTATTCCATTACAAAACACCAATCAAAGTCATGAGATATTAAATACTAAACCCTAATGCCAAATCACAATCTGTTTTCTCTTTGCATGTAGGGTTTCTTAGAGCTTTTATTTTAATCCCTAGAACTTTCCTTTTACTCCATATTACACCATGCTTACAACCTGAAGCTAACTCAAAATAGTATTCTATACTCTTTTTTAAAATATGTTCAAGGGCTGGGGTTGTAGCTCAGTGGTTGAGAACTTACCTCCCATGTGTGAGGCACTGGGTTCGATCTTCAGCACCACATTAAAAAAATAAATAAAATAAAGATATTTTAAAAATATATGTGCAATGTAACATCAGGTACATCCTTAAGAATTGGACTATAACAATAAAATCTATTCCATGCTTGTATAATTATTATATCAAAATGTATACTGCTATCATGTATAACTAAAAAGAACCAATAAACTTTTTTAAAAATGGTGGAAAAAAAGAAATAGTTGAGCCTTAAAAAACCAATCATTATATCACATTTATTCAATTTCATATAACTTACCCAGGAAGTATATATCTGGAGGACAGATTGCCTCAGTGCTGTGGACAAGTTATAGTCCTCAGAACTGTGGTGCACTTGGTGTCCAGCCCAAATAATGTTAACCTCTGCAAAACACATAATTTGAAAGCAGCCATGAGAAAAAGAACAAAGTAACTTCCATGTCCAGTTATGCATGTTTCTCTCTTGAGTGAGGATGAAAAATCTGGAATATCTCTGGAAAAGCTAGCCAACACCATGATAATTGAAATAAGGCTGCTCAAATCATTTTTTGGAAACAGGAGCCAACAGAGTATAAATAAATAAAAACTTGAAACGTAGCCAATAAATATGCATAGCATATATGACATAATTAATGCCTCTAGCAAACTAAAATAACTTCTGAAATTTACACTTTACTAACATATTACAATATGACAGATCATAAAAGCCAACTGGAAATGGGGTAACAATGTAGTCAATGGATAGTGATGATTTTTCAGTATGTGATAACATTACTAATTAAAGAAGATTCCTGATGGAAGAAATTAGTACATAAAGTTTGGAATGAATTATTACATAATATTATTTCCTGATGGCTTTTGAAAAGTCTTAAAAAATGTTGAAATAAGAAGAAAAATAGCAATATTCGGTCCTAAGATTTAAAGTTTTCCTTTTATTTACAAAAATACATTAAATAATGGTTATATAGGGTTCTTCCCATACCTTACAAAGATATTTTATATTTTTTAAATTTTTTCAAAAAATTAAAAATTGTTTTTTTTTTTTTTTTTTTTTTAGAAGTGACAAACATACTTAATCATTTATTGTTAGATATAATTTGATAATAAAGTCATGCAGAAAAGTGAGACTAACAAGCAGGTTTTGTAGGTTCTCTGGAAATAATAATCAGACACTGTTTTTGAAACAGGAAATTCCGTAACACACTATCAGATTGAGTATTCATCTGTCTACCATTAAAGTATGATTTGCTAATCATTCTTGATGGGGTTTTTTCCACCACCTAATTGTCCTGACACATGATCATTGCGACATCCATACAGGATGACTTGGAAAGCACCACAAAATCAAAGTATCAGTATGTTAATACACCCTAAATGCTTTAGTCACCCTTTCCAGGTCCCTTTTCTCCTTCCTTCTTTCTAGTTACATTGGGAGGGGAGAGAAATTTCATTTACGCGAATTTGTGTTAATTTCTTCTGAAAACAGAGCCTGGATGCAATTCACACTGCACATATGCTACACATGTGCAGGTAACCCCCTGAGAGGGGACAACAAGCCAGAGGCAGGAGTGGGCAGGTAGGGTGAATGTGAGACAGCAGGTGGTATAAAAGGGGAAGAGACTGAAAGGCCCCAGAGCAGGAGTGCTGCCAAGAGCGTCTGGGGCACAGATCTAGGCAGCAAAGCTCCTGGTCAGGAGAAACCAAGATGCAGTTCAGGATTGTGAGAGAGGGCAAAGCAAAGATTAGTGTCAAGAAGGCTGAGCAGCAGAGGGTCCTGGGACAGCAGGTCATCTGGATCTAGCACACACCACTAAGCTAATAGGATGTAAATGTTCTCAGGATGTTTTAGTCTTCATTTTTTTTTTTTTTT